CCTCTGTTCCCAACTTTCATATTCTAATCACCAATAATTATCCATGCACTGATTACATTTTCAGTTTGATCAATTTCAGACTGCAGAAGTTAGTGAAAATCTTTAACAGCCACATCTTTGGCCTTAGTAGTTGGTGTATAAATTTGAATAATAATTTTATTAACTGGTCTTTCTTCTAGGCATATAGACATTATCCAATCAATGACAATATTTGTAGTGACAGCATTCAAGATAAATCTTGAATTTTTTTTTTTCCCCAATAAATAAGATACCATTCCTCTTCATTTTGACATTCCTGGAACAGTAGACCATATAACTGACTGATTCAAAATGGCCAATACCAGTCCATTTCAGCTCAAACCTAGAATATTGACCTTTTTGCATTACATTTAAGTTTTGGTGACTTCCCATTTTCCTAGATTCATACTTTGTACAGTCCACATTCCAATTATTGCATGTTTGCAGCTGCGTCTTCTCATTTTGTGTTGTACCACACTAATAAATGAATGTCCTTAAAGATTTACTGCACCCATATCATTAAGGTCGACTATATTTTGAGGAGACAGCTTTTCCCTAGTCATGTTTTGAATGTCTTCCAGAACGAAGAGCTCATCTTATGACATTAGATCAGACAAGGTTCTTTTGCTTTTCATTGGCCAAGTTTTCAAGATGTAGATTACTAGGTTCTTCTTCCTAGTCTGTTTTACTCAGGAAGCTCTTCTGAAAACTGTCAACTATGGGTGATCCTGCTGGTATTTGAAATACCAGTGGCAGAGCTTCCAGCATTACAGCTATATGCAAATCCCAACATTATCACAAACTGACAGATGAATAGTGGGACATTTACTTGCAGAGTTATAATACTACTAAAATTATTTGTTTAAGTGCTTGTGTCTGGCACTGTACTAAGTTCTTAGAGAGTTGTTGTTAGGTGTCATAGAGTCATTTGTAACTCATAGTGACCCTATGCACAGTAGAACGAAACTGCCAGGTTCTGAACCATTCTCACAATTGTTGTTATACTTGAGCCCATTGTTGGTGCCACTGGGTCAATCCATCTCATTGGGAGGCTTCCTCGTTTTCACTGACCCTCCACTTTTCCAAGCACAATGTCCTTCTCCAGGGACTGGCCCCTACTGACAACATGTCCAAAGAAAGAGGTGAAATTTTGCCATCATCGCTTTTAATGAGCATCCTGGATGTACTTCCAAGACAAATTTGTTTGTTCTTCTGGCATTCCATGGTACTTTCAATATTCTTCTTCAATGCCTTACTTCAAATGCATTGATTCTTCTCTGGTCTTCCTTATGCACAGTCCAACTTTCACATGCATATGAGGCAATTTAAAATACCAAGGGTTAGGTCAGGGGCACCTTACTCCTCATCGGTGACATCTTTGCTCATTAACACTTTAAAGAGGTCTTTTGCAGCAGATTTGCCTAATGTAATACATCATTTCATCTCTTGAATGCTAGCTACTTCCATGAGTAATGATTGTGGTTCCCAGAAAAATGAAGTCTTTGACAACTTCTATCTTTTCTGTTTTTATCATGATGTTATTTATTGGTCCAGTTGTGAGGATGTTTGTTGTCTTTATCTTGCTTGAGGTGCAATCCATACTGAAGGCTGTAGTCTTTGATCTTCACTAGTATTTCAAGTCCTTTTCTGGCTCACAAACAAGGTTGTTTCATCGGCATGCCACAAGTTTTTCATGAGTCTTCTTTCAATCCTGATACCAAATTCTTCTTTATACAATCCAGTTTCTCAGATTATTTGCTCAGCATACAGATGGAATTAGTACAGTGAATGTATACAACCCTGGCACACACCTTTCCTGATTTTAAACCAGTGTCCCCTTGTTCTGCTATAACGACTGCTTCTTGGCCTATGTACAGGTTCCTCATGAGCACAAATAAGTATTCTGAAATACCTACTCTTTGCAATGTTATCCATAGTTTGTTATAATTCACAGAGTTGAATGCCTTTGCACAGTCAACAAAGCTCAAGTAAACATCTTTCTGCTTTTCTCTGCTTTCAGTCAAGATCCATCTGACATCAACATTGACAACAATAGTTTCACGCTGTCTTCTGAGTCTGACTTGAATTTCTGGCAGTTTCCTGTACAGCTGTAATTGTTTTAAAAACATCTTCAACAAAATTGTACTTGCATGTAGTATTAGTGATATTCTTTGATGACCCATTCCATTGGGTCACCTTTCTTAGGAATTGTCACAAAGGTGCATTTCTTCCAGTTGGTTGGGCGGTAGCTGTCTTCCAAATTGCTTGGCATAGACGACTGAGTGCTTCCAGAGCTGTATCAGTTTGTCGAAATGTTTCAATTTGTATTCCATCAATTCCTGGAGCCTTGTTTTTTGCCAGTGTCTTCAGTGCAGCTTGGACTTCTTTCTTCAATACCATTGGTTTTTGATCATATGATACCTCTTGAAATGGATGAGCATCCACCAATTCTTTTTGCTATAGAGATTCTGTATTCCTTTCATCTTCTTTTGATACTTCCTGTGTTATTCAGTATTTTGAGAATCCAGAGAATCCTTCAATATTGCAACCTGAGACTTGAATTTTTTTTTCAGTTCTTTCAGATTGAGAAATGTTGAGCATGTTTTCCCTTTTGGTTTTCTAACTCCAGGTCTTTGCAGATTTCATTATAATATTTGACTTTGTCTTCTTGAACTGCCACTTCAAAATTTTTATTTAGCTCTTTTACTTCTCCATTTTTTCCAGTTGTTTAAGTTTCTTTGTACTCTAGCAAGTTTTATAGTCTTGTGGGAATGAGTGTCTTTTCTTCAACATTACTGTAATCCTATTTATTGTATTCAAATGACTTTTCTTTTATATTTTTACTACTTTCTGAAGTGAGTAGGGACATTCCAACTTCCTTAAGTTCCCTTAGCAATTTGAAATAGCCAACCGAGTAAGGACAAGAATGTGTGCCTTAGCAATTTGAATTAGCCAATGGGGTAAGGTCAAGACTGTGTGGTTGAAACCCTAGCCAATAGGGTGAGACACAGCCTTAAGACTCGTGTCAGGGATAAAAACCTGACCAGACTACCTGCCCAGTGTGCTTGCTAGCCTGTTCCGGTACAGCTACGTGAACCCTTCTACAGAAGTAAATTTTGCCTTGCTGAGGTAATTTGGTATTATCGAGTGTCTTTTTGTGTGACATTGGGGTTCATTTCTAAGTCTCTTCTGACATCAATTTTAGTCTTTTGTTTCTTTCCTGCCTTTTTAATGACCTTTTACTTTCTTTGTGTGTGTTATTCTTGATGCCATCCCACAACTCTTCTAGTCATCAGTGTTTATGATGAAGTCTGTTCTTGAGAAATATTTAGATTCAGGTGGGATTTATACAAAGTCATATTTTAGTTCTTGTGGAGTTATTTTACTTTTCTTCAGCTCCAGCCTGAATTTGCAGATGAACAATTGATGATCTGTTCCACAGTCAGTCCCTTGTCTTGTTTTGACTGATGATACTAAACTTCTCTATTGACTCTTCCCACAGACGTAGTCAATTTGATTCCTATGTATTCCATATGGCTTGGTTCACATGTAGAGTCATTGTTTACGTTGTTGAAAAAAGATATGTGCAGTGAATAATCTCATTGATCTTATAAAATTCTACCATATAATCTCCAGCATTGCTTCTATCACCAAGACCATGCTTTCCAACTACAGATCCTTCATCTTTCTTTCTAGCACTCACATTCCAATAAACAGTAATTATCAATGCATCTTGATTGCATGTTTGATGGATTCAGACTGAATAAGTTGCTGTTGTTGTTGTTAAGTACAGTCAAGTCAGTTCTGACTCACAGCAACCCTGTCTAGGGTTTCTGAGGAGCAGCTGGTGGGTTTGAACCAATGACCTTGTGGTTCAAACTGATCTTGCAGTCCAATGATTTCTCCTATAGCGCCACACCAGGATGCCTTCAAATCCATCATCACTGGTTTTAAGTGGTTGATGCACAAAATTTAATAATACCGGTATTGACTGGTATTCCTTGTAGATGTATAGATATTTTTCTATCACAGACAGCAAAGTACTTCAAGGCAGATATTGAAAATTTCTTTTACATGATGAATGTGATACCATTTCCTCTTCAGTTTGCTGTTCCCTACATAGTAAATCCTATGATTATCTGATTCAAAATAACTAATACAGGTCCATTTCAGTTTACTAATAGATAGAATATTGGTCTTTATGCGTTCCATTTCATTTTCGATGACTTTCAATTTTCCTAGATACTTTGTACATTCCATGTTCTGATTATTAATGGATGTTTGTAGCTGTTTCTTTTAGAGTCATTCCCCCATGAGCAAATGAAGATCCTTTTAACTTTATTCCATCCATGTCATTAATGTCAACTCTAGTTTGTGAAGACAGCTCTTTCTTAGTCATATTTTGAGTACCTTCCAAGCTGAAGGGGCTCATCTTCTGGCACTATACCAGACAATGTTTCACCGGTATTCAGAAGGCTGTCAGCGGGTAAATCTAAGTCTGCAAGATCCACTAACACCTGTCCACAAGAGTGACCCTGCTAGTATTTGAAATATCCGTTGCAGAGCTCCCAGCATCACAGCAATACACAAGCTGACAAACTGTAGACAAACTGACAGACCAATTGTGGTCTTACATTGTTGCTTTTGTTTGTTGTTAAGTACCGTGGAGTCAGTTCCGACTCATAGTGACCCTGCACAGGGTTTCCAAGGCTGTAAATCTTTACGGGAGCAGAACGCCTCCTTTGTGTTTCAGTAGGGCCGCACAGTATCTAGAACATACTCTTGGTGTTAAGTGCCATCGAGTCGGTTCCAACTTACCGCGAAAAATACTTGTTCAAAAGATGAACAATGAAAGGAAGGGAAAATAACTTTGTGGATCATATAGGTGCAATGCATATCCTGGCCATGAGAAGGCGCAGGCGGACACAAGTTTGTGCGCAGGCGCGTCGTGAGGGCGGGCACCACTAAGGCGGTGGCGGTCGTGGCTGTGGCCGGGGGAAGTGAATGGTTTTACCCAGAGGGCCTTGCGCCGCCTTTCTCTACTGCCACCGGCGCTGCTTGCTGCTCCTCCTCCCCAGCCATGGCGTTCACGTTCGCGGCCTTCTGCTATATGCTGGCGCTGCTACTCACCGCCGCGCTTATCTTTTTCGCCATCTGGCACGTGAGTAGGGGTCGGGGCGAAGGAGGGCCAGGCAGCTGCGCAGCCCCTACTAGTCCACTGCTCTCGGTTGTGGCCGTGACGGCTCCCGAGGTCGGCGCGCGGGGGGATGCGGCCGGGCGGTGGAACCCTGGCCGCGTACTTCGAGGGTTCGTGGGCCCTCTGCGTGGTCTGGGGGCTGCAGGCGTGCGGTCCCCTGGCTGGTCGTCAAGGGGATGCGGCCGTAGTGCCCCCGTGCAGGCCGCCGCATCGCTCCCATCTCGGGCTGGTGAGGTGGCTGTAGTCTAGACGGGCCCGGCCGGATAGTCCCAGCCCTGCATCCCCTGGGAGGATGTCACAGGATGTGCACTTTGTGTGTAGGAAGTTTCCAGAGTTTTTATTATTTAATATACATTACCTTTTCTTTTCTGGGTTTCTGCGGGAGTTATGGCCAGAACAAGAGAGTTAAAATCTACTTTAATTTTCGACACTTGTGAACGCTTAAAGTAGAATCACCTTTTCTCTCTCTCTCTGTCTCTCTCTGTCTCTCTCTGTCTCTCTCTGTCTCTCTCTGTCTCTCTCTGTCTCTCTCTGTCTCTCTCTGTCTCTCTCTGTCTCTCTCTGTCTCTGCCTCTCGGGTTCCTGCTTTCCGGTGAACTTTGATGCAGGTTGGATTGATTACTGTGTTTACTGCATCTCTGCGCTTTCCACCGAAATCATACTTTGACCGCCAGAGTTTCTCAAGACACAGTCTAACAAGTGAATGCTGTAGCCTGTGTAGTTAGATGTATTCATAGAGGGAAATTTCATTTACTTTGGAAAATGTACAGAAATCTTAGTCTTTAGGGCTGTAGTACTTAATGTTATTCATATTCTGTTGCAATATAGGAGTAAATCCTTACATGACTGTGGCATAATTCAGGAGACTTAAGGATTTCTCATTTCTCTGGCACAAAGCTAGAAGCATTGAGATTCCTCTGGAGATCAACATTCATTAAAAATGTATCTCGTTCCTTTTGTACTCTTGATCTTCCAGTACATTCTGGAATATTGGTCTTAATTTGAATGATAGGGCATTTTCATTATTCCCTTAACACATATTTGTTTATGGGACACACAAGAGAGCAGAGTCATTTAAATGGCAAGAGTATCTTGTGCAAAGAAAGGTTTTTTTAAGTGAGGCATTATCATAAATCCATTCCTTTTTGCTAAAGAGTGATTCTATTTGTAATTATTTTAAATTATAACTGCTGTGGAGTGGGTAAATGTTTCTGTAAACTGTTAATGGTCAGAAATAACTTACTTCAAAGTGCTTGTCAGTAGAAGACCCTTCAGCTTCTTTGTTGTTATATCCCGTGGAGTTGGTACCGACTCATAGCGACCCTGTACAGGTTTTCCGAGGTTGTAAAGGAGCAGAAAGCCTCATGTTTCTCCTGTGGAACAAACAGCTGGTAGTTTCGAACTGCTGACCTTAAGGTTCGCAGCCTGATTCGTAACCACCTACGCTACCAGAGCTCCTTCTTAGGCTCGTCATTAAGGGAAGAACAATAGACAATTTGTAATGCACTCTGGCTATGTGTAACTTGGAGTCGACTCCGACTCATAGTGAACCTGTATAGGGTTTTTGGGGGGTCAGAAAGCAGGATGCATACTTTGTTGTTAAGTGCCGTTGAGTTGATTCCGACTCCTAGTGCTCTTGGGTTTCCAAGGCTAGCTCTGCCTTGTTAAAGCTGGGAGGGAACTATACACTTTAGGTAATTTGGGAAACACACCCAAGTGCCATCCTGTTGGCCCCATCTTGAACCACTGATGAGTTCAGACCAACTTTGCGGTCCACTGCATTACTGCATAGCGCACACCAGGACTCAGTTTTGACGTTGTTTCCCATCCAGGGCCAGGCTCTTTCCTTAGAGCTGTGAGGCAGGGGTGGGGAAACTTTTTTCTGCCAACATTTAGAACATCATTCACAGGTCATACAAAACTATCAGTGAAAAAATTAGCCTGCTGCTCTTTCTATAAGTTGCCTGAGATAATCTTGCAAAATATTTCGCTACTCACTGGACTCAGGAACCCCCATAAAATCATGCAAATCAGGAGGTTCCAATTTCTGGGTCCATTTTAAAAACACCCATGAATGCTGCCCAGGCCATCAACGATAAGCATATCTGAAAAGCTACCAAGTACCTGAAAAATGTCACTTTGAAGAAGCAATGTGTACTACATTCCAATGTTACAATGGTGGTGGTAGGTATGCCCAGATCAAACAGTGGGGTTGGACACAGGATCATTGGCCTAAAAAGAGTGCTGAATTTTTGCTGTCCATGCTTAAAAATGCAGAGAGCAATGCTGAAATTAAGTGTTCAGATGTGGATTCTCTGGTCATTGAGCACAGCCAGGTCAACAAAGCTCCCAAGATGCGACACCGAACTTACAGAGCTCATGGTCGGATCAACCCCTACGTGAGCTCCCCCTGCCACGTTGAGATGATCCTCACTGATAAGGAACAAACTGTTCCTAAACCAGAAGAGGAGGTTACACAGAAGAAAATGATATCCCAGAAGAAACTGAAGAAACAAAAACATATGGCTCAGGAGTAAACTAAACTTAAAATGCAAATAAAAGTAAAAAATATGAACCTGTTCTATTTGGTCAAACATTTCATTAACTCACCCCTAATGTGATGGCTGGAACTGCAGTTGTTTTGGCAGGGCCAGACCAAATGATTTCGCAGGCAGGACATCCGTTACCCCTGCTGTAAGGCATATGAACTACAGTGTATGGTTCCCAGTTAGCATTAAATATCTAAAGTAGCTTTAAGGCGCCTCTCTGCTTGACCAGGTGTGGCCAGTTTTCTGGAATGATGGGAATTTGCAGAAGATGTCTGTGGGATGGGCTTTTTTTTTTTTTTTTTTTTAACGTTCCCAACTCAACACAGGTGTGTTTGACTTAGGCAAGCCCAAACTGCATTTTTTAAATGGATAATTTAGTTTCAGTTTTAAAATGAGTGTGTGTCAGCTTGTAGTAGATAATTGTAAGTCTTATTTTAGAATTATAAAAAGAAAAATTGTATATACTCCACAAGTTTAGTGGACAGCTTTTATGTTTAAGGATTTTTTTTTTTTTTTTTTGGTGGTTCAGAGGATTACTACTGCAATATGCAGGAAATAATGCAAAATAAATAATTTTTTCTATTTGCCACCTAACCTTAGTTCTTCCATGACCCACAGGACATATAGTGACCATCTAAAATTTCCTCTGAGATTTATTGGGCCTCTTGCATTTCACTGAGTGCATGCCTGAGGGGATCTATAGAACTGTTTGGAATGGAATAAACTGGGGTGTGCAGCAAATTACTGGTTTTAAGCGTATTGTATGAGGTGATGCATCCTCGAGGTGTGGTTTTGCAAACTTTTGTCTCTTTTGGCTTTTTTTCTGGGAGATAAGCCTTGTGAGTATAGTTCTGGTTCCTTTGTGATATTTAGAAGTTACCTTTCTTGAGATGAGTCCATGTTCAGGATGATTCCATGTTTATGTGAAAACCGCATTTTCAGGTACCTTAAATTGCATGCACCTGTCAAGAGACCTGGAAGTGGCACGGAGTCCAGAGAGAGATATATGAGGGGGCTTCAAAAGTTCATGAAAAAATTCAATTTATCTTTTCATTCCATTTTTCACCAAACTTTTTGAAACTCCCTTGTCATCTTTCCCCACAAGTCCTGAGAGGCTAATCCTTCTTCCATTAATGAAAATATATGTCATAAGTGAAATATTAAAAATGAAAAATAATTTGAGGGATAAAAATGAAACACCCCTGCTGAATTGATTCTGATACATAGCGACCTTAAAGGACAAAGTAGAACTGTTCTTAGGGTTTCTGCTCCTTGGAAACCCTATATAGCATAGTTGTTGGACTCTACTTGAAGGCACTTAGCAAAAACAACAAGTCATTATGGGAGCAGACAGCCTAATCTTTTTCCTTTGGAGTAGCTGGTGGGTTTAAACCACCAACCTTGCAGTGAGCAGCCCAACACTTAGCCCACAGCAGCACGAGAACTCCTTTGAATTATGAAAGGGTTAAGTTTATTTTCTTAGCTAGTGTACAGCTCTGTCAGAAGACTCATTTGGCCGTTTCTAGATAAATTCCCCAAATCCTGTTTACATTAATATTGTGTATGGAGAATGTTTTTTTTTTTGTTTTAACAGCCATCCTATTTCCTCTCACTGGCAGCCACACTGCTAACCTATTGTCCTTAAGTCAATTCTGATTCATAGTGATCCTACCAGACAGGGTAGGACTGACCCATAGGCTCTCAGAGGCTGTATTCTTTTTTTTAATTTCTGTTTTCTTTTTGTTTGTTTTTATCGTGGATAGAATGATAGTTTACATAGGGGAACACCAGTTGTACCTTCATCCTAGCGTATTCATTTCATTGCAATGATTACAATCCCCTGCATGCTTCATCATTCAACAGTAATTGCTTCTATTCCCTTTGTTTGTTTTTAATTGATGTGCACCAAAACATTCAGGAATATCAAATCCTTCAAACAGCCAAAGGGCATACCCTGCCCCGGCACACCCTGCCCCTGCCAGCACATATCCTCTCTCCCTCCATGAGTCTAGACTCTTCATCTGCTTCATCTTTCTATGTCATCATCTCTGTCTCTATCTCTGTTGTCACCACTTCTCTGGGTAGGGATCCACACTCCACTCCAGCTCTTCTCCCTTGATGGTCCCAAGGGTCCTCCACTCCGAGACTGTAAGATCGACCACTCACCCCCTTTTGCTACAAAACTTCTACCTTTACAGTTGTGACAATCGCAATTAGTCATGATAACAGTTACTCAGTATTGAATCATGAGAGTCTTGTCCCCATCTCCTCACCAGACCTGTCTAGACAGGATGAAAACCACTCAGTGGGGATTTTGCCTTCTCCTGCACAGTCTGAATCTAAATTCCCTCTTAAAAACTTGTAAGCCAATCACTTCATGCCTTTACAGCCCCCCTATTTTAGGTAGCCAGTGTC